AAATTATTTATAAATTTTAAGCATCCGCCAAAATCAATAGAAGATCCATTCTATATTATTGAATGATATATTGCAAATTTTTATAAATATCCATTAACAACTAATAACTGTAAATTTTTTTCAGTATTTAAATCTGCTTAAATATCTATTAATTTTAATTCATTATTATTTATGAAAAAACTTGCCTGTTCAAGATAGATAATAGAGTTTTGCTCTAAAATTGTAGATATTTGAAAAATTTTTAGTTCAAAGAAAGTTAAAAAATCTATATTTTTCAGATAAAATAAATAATTTTAGTTCATCATAACGTTTTCTAATGTCATACTAGAAAAATGTAAAATACTTATATCTACAAGATTTATTAAGTTTGCATTGACATTAGCTTCAATTACTGTCAAATTTTCAATGAATAAACTTGAAATACTATGGAGTTAAATTAAATTCTATGAGATAATACTTTATGGTTAAATATCTATTTAGCTAATTTAACAAAATTTATAAATGCTACGATAAAAAATAGTACCAAATATTTAGCTTCCTTTTTAAATAACTAATTTTTAATTTTAGAAGTTTTGCACATTTTAAAAATCAAATAGATTATTATCTTCTTAAGTGAGTAAAGAATTGCCAAAGTTATAGATAAATATTTCTTTAATTATAACATTTTCTTAGTTTTTAAATTAAAATTTAAGCTGACTTAAGCTATTAATTTGCTAATAAATTACTCTGTTTATTTAAATAAAACTTTTATCTGCTTCAAATTATATTAATCCAATAGATTAAAATGTGCTTTGCTATGATATAAACTTAATTTCGTCTATTTGGAATAAACATTCTTAAATAGAAACAGCACTAAATATAGCAAAATAATTATGATGATGAATAATATCTTCATCATATAAATTAATTAAATTTATTTAAAATAATTTTATTGTTATATTTAATGACTAGTAATATGGCTACCTTGGCAAAGTATTTAATTTATTTTCCATTTAGCTCTAAGTAATATTAACACTATTAATAGTTAAATTATAATAACCCTAAAAAAGGAAATTTATATTTTCATTGTTACTTAAGTTAACTTAATCTATTAATAGTTAATAACTTATAATGCGAAATTCTAACAATTTTGTATTTATAATAGATATCTAACTTATACTTAAATCAGATATTTTATCTGTAGAAATTACAGGGAAAGTGCAAACTGTTGATTTTATTTATATTTTATTGATGATAAGTTTTTAAATTCTTCTAAATGATAAGAAAATACATCTTTCGTTCAAATCTATGTTTTCTAATAGAAGATAATTTATTTTAACAATTTATATATCTGTAATTGATAACGAGGATTTAAAAATTGTATTCGTGAATTTTAAATCTAATTCTATTTCATTTTGAGATTGAATGAAGATAAAATTTTCTTCACAAATATAGGATATTCCTTACGATTCAATCTACTCTATGATATTCTTATCACAAGTTTCCTCAATATTATTAAGTGCTAGATTATTATCAGCTAAAGAAAGGGACTTGGTTAATAATATGTTTGAATTACACACTTTATAAAGTAATAACAGAATTAAAATTTAGTTTATCATGATATGAATATTCAGATTCATTTTATTGTTTTTTTTTATTAGTTTGATTATTTAGTTTTTGTAATTAATTTATTTATATTTAAAATCATTCAATCTCTTTTTGCTTTTTATCTACAAATTCGAAAGTCTTAATATTGACTGAATAAATATTTACCATAAAATTTTAGTTACTTTACTTATCCTTTAAAGTTTGTATTTTTTTAAAATTAAAAATGAATGTTTAAAAATGTATTTATATTTGTATAAAAAAGAAATTTATCACTAAAATTTGTATTGTTTTATCTCTGAAAATAATAGAATTTTAATATTAGTAAAAGAAAAAATAAAGAAAGAAACATATTAAATGGGATTTTTCTTGAATGTCAAATTTATTCTAGAAGCATATATTTAGATGTATTTATTTTTGTAATTTATTAAAGATTATTTGAATACATAAATATGACTCTTAAAAAGAGGAAAAATGACTTTAAAAAAATTTAATGTTTGTTTTATCAAAAGCAATTACAAATCATGAAGTTCCCTCAAATATCTAAATTAAAAAATAAATGATGTAAAAAATTCTTTTTTATTATTTAAATTTTTTTTAAGTTACTATTTTCATGAATTTTTAGGTCTTTTTTAATTTATTAACCTACCTACCTACCTACCTACCTACCTACTTATTACATTCTTTTATCTTACTTAGTTTTCTTATTATTTTTATATAATTCAACAAGTAAATATTCCTTAATATAAAAATGTAAACTAAGGGAGTGTAATCATTAACTTTATTAATCAAAAAATTTATAAGCCTAAAAATTCATAAAATTAAACCAAATATTATTATAAATATATAACTCTATTTTTTTAAATTCTACTTTTAAAGCTCTTTTTTATTTAAAAATAATTTTTAAAATGATAGAATTATTTCATTAATCTTAAAAACTAAATAAATATTTTTTCTAAAAATAATTAACTAAGTTAATTAAAATTTATTTGAATCTAAATATATAATCTTTTTAGTTATTCTTAAAAACAAAGATTATTTTAATATATTAAAAACTGTAACACTAAAATCAGGTAATTAATTCTAAGTTAAATTTCTAATTTTATAAAATAAAAGTATAATTAAATATTTTTCTTCTATTTTTATTAGTATAATTTACTTACTTTAGCATTTTATTCTAGTCTTATATTATGAATTAATATTTAAATTGGTCAAATATATTTTAAAAACTTTAAGCTAGCTACAAACCTTCATATTTTTAATAAAATTATTAATTAAGATTATTTGAAATTATGATAAAATTAACTCAATTCAATACATGAACATAAATATTATATGAAATAAATAACAAATATAATTGATAATAGTAAAAAATTTTATAATAAAATTAATATAATTTGTTTTCATTAATTGGCGGCTTACTATTTTTATAGAATACTTCTTTTAGCAATATTATATATACATTGTGCATTAGCTGCTCCTGTATGGTTAACCATTTGTTTAAAGACACTATCATCTCTGTTTAAAAGATCATAGGGTTTTCCAGATTCTATAGCCACACCTTTATCCATTACCACAATTTTATCATAATCTGCTATAGTATTTAACCTATGAGCGACTGTAATCACAGTTGAATTACTGAATTTTTCTCTAATTTTACTTTGTATTAATTCATCAGTTTACATATCGCAATTAGCTGTGGCTTCATCAAGCACAATGATCTTACTTTATCTTAACAGTGCTCTACCTAAACATATAAGCTATTTTTAGCCTGTACTAAATATCTCTGCAGAATTGGTCATATCAGTGTTAATACCATTAGGCAAACTAGTTACTTTTTCTAAATATTAAAAATGATTTTGAATGAGAAAATACATTATAAAAATAATTTGATGATATTTAAATAATATTATCAAAGAGTGAATTTGAGAATATAAAGATTTTTAATTTTTGATATATACCTTTCAAATTAATGTCTTATAAAGTAGCAATAATTTATTCATCTGAGAATAGATTTAATGGATCTAAATTTCTTCTTATAGTACCAGAGAAAATAAAAGGTACCTGTGGAATTATGCTAATTCCTCCTCTCAAAGTATGGAGTCCCAAATCTTTTATATTGTGACCATCTATCTTAATATACATATTACAATTTAATTGTTTTTCCTCATCATCACTTATTTCCTCTTAAGTTCCAATATTTGATTGTATTTCGGTCATTCTAAATAAAGCTTGAATAATTGAGGACTTACCAGCTCCTGTTCTTCCAATAAAACCAACTTTTTCACCTGCATTCAACTAAAATGTTAGACCATTCAAAACATTTCCTAAGTCTTATCTGTACTTCATTTTTACATTATTAAATTCAACTTCTCCTTTAGTTGGGAAAGATTCTTTTATTTTGCGATTTTGCAGAATCTTATTTGAGTCATACTCTGTTCTCAAAGCAGGTTCTGATTCAATTAATGTCATATTTATAGCTCTCTAAGCGCTGGACATAGAAACATCCGTTTAAATCATTTATCTAAATAAAATTATTCAATTTTAAATTTGCTAATAGAATTGTATTAATAAAAGATTACCTTAATCCCCATTATATGTTGTCACTGATACTTAAAAAGTAAATAATTGTTTATCCTAGTGTTGAAGGATCTTAGTTAATTGCAAGTAGCATGAAAACACCAATTATAGATGCTATTGTAGTAACTAAGTTAACATAGTATCCAAAAGCTCTTGAATTATTCCAGTATGTAAACGAAGTACGTAGGGAATTGTTCAATATATAATCAAAGTTTTAAGAGAAAAGTTCCTGCTTTTAGTAGATTTTAATTGGTAAAACTCCTTAAGTTGTTTGATTGAAGAAAGTAAAAACAGGTGATCTGTATCTTAAGTCAATTTACTTTGATTGAACAAGCACTCTTTTAGAGATACCAAGAAACAAGCTAAGAATAAATACTTCTATTACAGCTATGATAGTAAAATAAGGATTAATTGAAATAATTGTGCCAATTAAAACTAAAAAGCTGCAGATTATTTCAATTGTATCCATTGCAGTCCTTACTAAATCTTAATCTATGGTTCCTAATTATTCAGAAAAATTTTATAGTTAATTTAAAAAAAAACAAGTTTCTTACCTAAATCTGATGAAAATCTATTTAGTATTCTACCTGAAGGAGTTCTGTCGAAATACAAAACAGTGGCTCTAATCATAGATTGAATCATACTATTATGAATGTTGTAGCTACTACGATTAGCAAGTATAGTTAATAGAGAATATTTTAAAATAAGGTTAACAAAATACATAAGTGAAAGATATCCTAAAAAGCTGATATAATAAAATTTGTCAGAATCTTTCTCACCATATTTTCCTATAGTTTTTGAGTAAAAAATAAAGACTACTTCACAAGTTACAAAAAGAGCAAATATCAAAGGCACTAATAACCAAAGCTTAGAAAACTTCAAGTAATCGATATATGTTTTAAAGCCAACAACAATCTTTTCATCTTCTTCGCTAGTGTAGAGTTTGTCTTTTTTTTAATTATTTTACAAATTAGCTGTTGTTTGCTATTCTTACTTTTATACTGTTTAAATTTTCTTTTTCTCTATTTAAACATTTTCTTTATTTCCCCTTTCATTTTTGTTCTCATCATTATCATTTTCATTTTATTTTTCATCTTACTATAAGTTGTTGTGTTATTCATCATTTTATACCTTATTCTATGAATTGTCATGGATAACTTAATTACTCAGTCCTTACAAATGCTATTCTACTTCCTTAAATGTGCCAATCTATTAAATTTTTCCTTCATCTAATATGATAACTCTATCAGCATTTTTGGTAAAAGGAATTTAGTGTGTTACCAAGAGAATAGTTTTTCCTTTCAACAGCCCTTAAATAACATTTTCATTTAAAAGTTTAGCAACCTAAATTTATTAAATTAAAATAATAATTATTAAAATATAAATTTTAAATATAAATAGCAAAAATACCTTTGAGTCAACTGCAGATAAAGGATCATCCAACAAATAAATATCTGCTTGAGAATAAACAGCTCTAGCTAGTGAAATACGAGCTTTTTATCCACCACTAATATTGGCACCTCTTTCTCCGATTTGAGTCTAATCTCCATAATCAAATAATTTAAGATCATCAATAAGGCAACAAGCTTAAACAACTCTATTATAATACTCTTCATCATATTTAGCTCCGAAAATAATATTTTCTTTTATTGTTTTATTGAAAATATAAGGTTCCTATTCAACATAGGCTATTCTCCCTTAGAAATTAAAGTATCCTTTGTACTTTGGCACTTCTTTTAAGATACAGCTTAAAAGTGAAGATTTTCCACTTCCTACTTTTCCTACGATTCCTATATATTCTCCTTTCTTTATTTCAAAATTAATGTCTTTTAGAACAGGTTCTTTCTCTTACCAATAACCATTAAAGCTTTTCATTTCTATTTCGCCTATATCAAGATTTTTTCCTTCAAAGTTTTCAATTTCTTTAAATTTAAAAGAGATAAATTAAAAAATTTGTTAATTTTTAATAGATTTTTTTTAAAGGAAACAAACAAAATAAAAATATTTAAGCTAAAATAGTACTCTCCATGCAAATCATATCAGTAGACTTCATAGAAATAACTGTGATCATTCTTTCCAAAACAACTTTTAATTCCAATAAACCTACAATGCCAAATCCTGCAGATGCGACTACTTGCTGCTTAATATAAGAAAGTAAATCTAAAGTAGAATACATATTAGCAACATTCAAAGCGCTTGGTCCACCATATTTATACATAATGAAAAATACAATGAATGTAGAAAATAATCCTGAGACATAACTAAAAGAGTGCTCAATCAAGTATATCAGTTAAATATAAAATATTTTAGTCAATTCTGTTTTTCTCAGTGTTTAAACTAAATGGACAAAAGCTTCTTCCCAAGCATACATTTTTATTAAACGTATTCCTTCAATTATTTCATTAGTGAATTTTACACGCTAATCAACTAATGAAGCCTTAGCTTTAAAGTACTTAGAACTAATTTTAGCAAAAAAGATTTAAAATGGTATGTAACCAATCATAACAGCCAGTCCTATAACAGCATATTCGTTAAATCTATTATTTTTTATTAGAGAAATTTTAAATTAAAATAACTAAAAATTTTTAATATTATTTAACAAAATAAGATCTTTTTATTGAAAATGGTTTTAAAATATTTTTTTGCAATTTATCAGTTTATTTATTAAAATTTAATAACTTCATAGTTATTATTGTTTAATATAGTATTAAAATAGTACCTGTAATAAAGAATTAGGCCAACTGCGATAATAGGAGGAGGAAGAGAAAGCAAACAAATGATTTAATAGCTTTTCATTTCTAAAAGATTAAGGTCATTTGAAACTAAGTTGACTAATTTTCCAACGTTAGCTTCTTTAATTTAAAATGCAGAGAGTGATTGAATTTTTTAGAAGAGTACTTTATTGAAAATCGCCCTGAATTATGTGAAGAAGATCGTATAGAAACGAACAGAATGATGACAAAAAGATATATACAAGTACTAAGTAACAGCCATAACAATTGCCCATCCATATATTAGATTTTAGCTTTTATTTTCAATTACTGCAACAATTAAAAAGTTGATGCAGTTTGAGAAAAAAATTTTCAAACCATAGAAGAAGAGCACTGAGAGGATTATCTATATGATTGGTAAATAGAAAGTGCGCAACAAGATTTTTAACATGTCTGACGAAGAAAGTTTTTTACCTATTTTTTCCTTATTTTTAATAGTTTTTTCTATATTTTCCTCGAAGGCTTTACAGTTGTTTTCTACTCTTTATGATGGGGTTAAAAATGGAATGTTTTTGAGCTTAAGTGAGCCATTTTCTTTGATATGCTTTGAGCAACTGATAAGGAGTTTCAAATAATCTATAAAGAATACCTTAAATAGACAATTTACATTGTAAGAAAAGTTGAAATTTTTCCATTTAGTGTTTTCTTAATTCTTCTTTTATTATTCTTCATAGTCTACCGAAAAAAAGTTGATCATTTCTTCATCATCAGTCTCTAACTTTTCTTTTGTTTTTTGATCACTTATAACTACTGCAATTTCTTGATTGCTAGCTTATTTTTAGGAGTTAGTGTGTTTCTTTTAATTTTTTGTCTCTAAATGAATAGACTCTACTTCTTTAGGGAGAGTTTTATTATTAACGATAGCGTCTTTCTAGTTATTAGCCTCAGCATATGTATTTTAAATATTGTTAATATTTTTAATACTTTAAATTCTATCTTGTTAATTATGAACTTTAGCCAGAGACTCTTAAGCCATAACCTTAGGATTATTATGAGCTTCTATATTGTAGTTATGATTTTACATATTAGGTATAGATTCGGCTCTAATTATATTTTAAAATGTTAGAAGATGATAAATTAGTATTTTACCAAGACTTAAATGTAATTATATTATTTTTTGTTATAATATTTATTTATAAGATTAATTGAAATTTTATACCAAGATTTATATCATTTACAAAATAGAGAAAGTGATGTTTAATATCTACTAATTTATTCAAATTAATTAAAACTAATTAATTTTATTTTCTAATCCTGATAAATTACGATTTCAAATATTTTATCTATTTGAAATTTTGTAAACTCTTAAAGTAAAAAATTTTGAAGGAAATTTAATTTAATAGTTAAGCAAGGAGATTAATATCTAAAAATAAAACACTAATTTATAAGCTTAAAATTAAAATATCTTTAAACGAAATTAAAATAAAAACCTTAAAAAAATAAAACGCAATTCCATTATAAAATATTAATAAGCTTTCAATCACATATTATAATGAATATATTTATTTTAAGCATAAAAATCAATCTGTTAATTTATTATAAAAACATATAATTATAAAATTTAAAATAAATAAAAAAGGTTTTAATTAGCTATTGTAATTTAATTAAATAAAGTTGTATTAATATATTTATATTTATAAATATAACAAAATAATTAAAATAATGAGCATAATCAAATTTGCCAATAGAATCTATCAGTAGTAGTGGTCTTAAAAATTTGATATAAACTAAACATAAATTGATTTTTATAAATATGCAAATTTAAGTGTGCGCCTTTTAGGACTAAACATTAAAATAAGTTGTAAATCGTTTAAATTAATTATTTAGTAAAATATTTTATCCTTTAAACTTATTTTTTATAGATTAACAAAATAATATAAAAATTGAAAGTTTACAGTCAAATTTTGTAATTAAGATAAGTAAATAAATTATTTGATAATTTATATAAATTCTGATTAAATCTATAAATTTGTTCAAACAAATAAAAAAGATTGAAGAAAGTTCTAATTTTACTAATTAAAAATTTTTGGATTTATCCATGTAATTAAAAGCATTCAAGATTAATAGAAAAAGTTTCTTAGTTGTTCTAGCATATATCTAAAATTTCTAAAAATATTTTAAATAAAAATTAATTATTTTTATATATTCTGTTAAATATTTTATTTTAACTTATTAATTTATCTATTAAAACATTTTTGGAAATAAATTACAAATCAAAATATATTTTAAAGTATTTAATGGCTAAAATAAAATCAATACTTAATAAAAACAACTTTCCATATTAATAAAATATTAACAGATATTGATTTGCACAAAATATTGAATCTATTTATTTATTTTAAGCATATAAAAATAAATTAACTTTTCATAAAAACAAATCAAATTAAAATTAAATTTAATAATAAAAAAAATATTTTCTAAAGATTTTAATTAATTATATAAATTAGTAGAAAATAATTTTTAATATTTAACATTTTATTTTAATTTAATTGATTTAATTCTATCAATTTATTTTATCAATGAAATTAAATCATTTAAATTGTGAGCGAAATCAAATTATCCAATTGAATTTATCTGTGTTTGTTTTAAGATTTAGATAGAAAGTAATATAAATTGATTTTTATAAATAAACAAATGTAAATACGTACTTTGATAATAAAAAAGTTTAAACAAGTTTTAAATAGATTATTTAATAAAATATTTTATCCTTGAGACTTGTTTTGCCTAATGAAAAAAATTTATGCAAAAAATTGAAAGTTTACAGTCATATTTTGTAATTAAGATAAGTAAATAAATTATTTGATGATTTCTTTTAATTCTGATTAAATCTAAATATTTATTAAAGTAAATAATATAGATTGAAGAAAGTTCTAATTTGATATTTTTTAAGACGTTTGATAAACTCAAGAAATTTAAAGCCTTTACAATAAATGTCTAAAAAAATTCAATATTAAAATAAATTATTATATATTTTTTTTTATTTTTAATTTATCTATTAAAACATATTTTAGATAGAAATCTCAACTCAATTAGATATTTATATTAAAAAGATTCATATTGGTGATATTTAATTTATTTATAAATTCAGAAAATATGGTGAAAATTTATGAGGATTTACGGTAAATTAAAATTATTTGATTTTATTTCAATAAATTATTAATTTTCCATTTTTGTTTTTAAATTATTTATTTAGTTTTATATAATTTTAAAATTTATTCAAAAAGTATTTAAAATATTAAATAGATTGGTATTTATAAAATTTAAATTTATAGATCTTAAAACTAGTGTTAATAATAATTTTTTTAAAATTTATTGAATAAATAAGAATATTTGTAATAAAAGCAAATAATTAATTTTAATTTTCTAGAAAAAAAAATAATTTCATTCATTAATTACATTACAATAATTATTAATATAAAAAGAAATATAATATTTTTTTAGATAATTAAGAAAAAATAAATTAATTTTAAAGTAAGGAGATTAAAATCTAAAAATACTACACTAATTTAAATCGTATATCTTTAATAGAAATTTTATATTAATAACCAAGATATAAATAAAACGCAATATATAATTGATACAAAAAGTAGATCTTACTTTATCAATATTTTAATCAAGTAAAGTTAACGCATATTTATTTTGCTTTAAGAATGATTTGAAATGAATAAATATAATAATTTCAATCAATTTTGAAAATATATATACAAAAAAATATATGATAATAGGTCTTCAGTGATAATAATGAAATATATTATGTAATTTATTCATTTTGTAAAAACTTAATGTTTTTTTGTAAATACCTATCATCCTCAGTTTTATTATTCTCATTTATATATTCTTTCATCAAATTTATTGCTGAAATTCTCTTTTGATTTTTTTAGAGTAGTATTCTGCTACTTTATTATGAATATTATGTATTAAATACAGAAATATAATCTGATTATTTAACCCATTTTAATTAATAATTATTTATTAAAAATGGTATTACAATCAGTAGAACTTTGTCTAATTTTACTAACATAAATAATCTTTATGATTAAATATTTTTTAGTTCTATTTTTTTGGTTAACTGATCTAATTAATTAATTCTTAAAAAAATAAAAATGATCAAATTTATTAAATATATATTGAACATAAGAGCAAAATCTCGTTTGATATAAGATATTAACATATTTTTAAAGCAAAATTTATTTAATTAATTAATAGATAAATCTTTCTAATTAAAAAACAAATTTATAAATTTATATATTGATTCATCAAAACAAATTAATTTATTATTTAAAGAAATAAAGTTAAACTATTTTTTTTACAATAATATTTAATATATTGATTATTAGCAGAAATTGCATGATTCTTAAGACCTACAAAATACTTTTAGCAATTTATAAATCAAAATTTTAAATACCAAGATAAAAAAATTTGCTATAAAATAAAGTAAGAATTTCATAATCCATTTTAATTTGGAATATAGTTTTGTTATTAGCAAACTATGTAGTCTCTAATTAATTTTTTTCCTTGACAGTTCTTTGATTAAATTTAATCTATACAAGTCAATAGCTCATCAAATTATTTTGATGCTTCTTCTAATACTCTCATTCTGACATAGACTTCCTTTTTTTAAAGTAAGCAGTTTTAATCAAGCTGGTCGAAAAACTAAATCACGTTTTTGTTATCAAAACTGAATAGTTAATTTGAGCACAAATCTTAGATTTGCCAGTATCCCTTTTAACTGTTATCATTATTTGAAGTTTCAGCAAGATTTTTTATCCTATCAATGCTATATTTTTTGACAGTATCGTTCACAAGGCAGTCTACATACTAGTAAAGAGCTACCTACTCTTTAGTTTGTTTATTTTAAAATTAATTTTAAATGCACACTTTCATTCTACCTTAATCAATATTTCTTTATTCTTTATCTTCAGTTATATGCAAAAGCACATCGCATATTTTCAAGCTTTAATCAATAGTTTCTTAGGATAGTTATTAATTATCATTGAAGATATTGTTTTAGCATTTAAATTTGATGTTAAAATCTATAGCGTATATTTTATCTTACCCTATGAGTAAACTACGCTTAAAGGAATTTTAGGCTGTTAATTCTTGACCACGAATATTAATAGCAGTCACGAATGAGAAGGTTATCAAGGATAATATTATTAATATCTTCATATCTTTTTTTTAATTTTATTGATTTATTTTATATTTTTTAATTTATATATTTTATTTAAGTTTACTATCTTTTCGACTAAGTATTTAAAAATCTATATTATTATATTTTGGTTTGTTAATATTAAACTTAATATTCTCGAAATTAATGATATCTTTAAAATCTAAGTATATTTGATTAAGTATTTAAAAAAAACTATATTTTTCTATTTTTGTATGTTACATATAAATTTATTTTTCTAGAAATTATCGATATTGTAAATTAATCATTCATAGTAAGTAATAAAAATTTAAATAAGCCTAATAACTAAAAATAGTTATATTAGGTACTATTTTAATAAATAAGATTTACTTTCGAATATATTTTGATTTACTAAGTTAATAACAAAGTTCTAGTTTTAAATTAAATTAAATTTTCTTTTTTATTTATTTGGATTCATTTAGTTGTAATAGACATTTTAAATTAAACTTAATTAAAAAACTGCCATCAAAATAATTACAAAATTTGAGAAAAAAATATAAAAATTGCTCCATATTTTCATATAATACAAGTTATATATACCGTCTGTATTGAATAATAAGGTGCTCTTTAAATAAAGTGAATTTTTTAATAATGTATACTAATTTATATAGCATATCTTTATTGGAAATTTTATATTAATAACCAATATATAAATAAAACGCAATATATAATTGATATTAAAAGCAGATCTTACTAGATCAATATTTTATTCAAGTAAAATCAACACATATTTATTTTGCTTTAAGAATGATTTGAAATGAATAAATATAATAATTTCAATCAATTTTGAAAATATACATACAAAAAAATATATGATAATAGGTCTTCAGTGATAATAATGAAATATATTATGTAATTTATCCATTTTGTAAAAACATAATGTTTTTTTGTAAATACCTATCATCCTTAGTTTTATTATTCTCATTTATATATTCATTCATCAAATTTATTGCTGAAATTCTCTTTTGATTTTTTTAGAGTAGTATTCTGCTGCTTTATTATGAATATCATGTATTTAATACAGAAATATAATCTGATCATTTAACTCATTTTAATTAATAAATATTTATTAAAAATAGTATTACAATCAGTAGAACTATGTCTTATTTTATTAACATAAATAATCTTGAAATTCTATTTTTTTGGTTAACTGATCTAATTAATTAATTCTTAAAAAAATAAAAATGATCAAATTAATTAAATATATATTGAATATAAGAGCAAAATCTCGTTTGATATAAGATATTAACATATTTTTAAAGCAAAATTTATTTAATTAATTAATAGATAAAACTTTCTAATTAAAAAACAAATTTATAAATTTATATATTGATTCATCAAAACAAATTAATTTATTATTTAAAGAAATAAAATTAAACTATTTTTTTTACAATAATATTTAATATATTGATTATTAGCAGAAATTGCACAATTCTTAAGACCTTCAAAATACTTTTAGCAATTTATAAATCAAAATTTTAAATACCAAGATAAAAAAATTTGTTATCAAATAAAGTAAGAATTTCATAATCCATTTTAATTTGGAATATAGTTTTGTTATTAGCAAACTATGTAGTCTCTAATTAATTTTTTTCCTTGACAGTTCTTTGATTAAATTTAATCTATACAAGTCAATAGCTCATCAAATTATTTTGATGCTTCTTCTAATACTCTCATTCTGACATAAACTTCCTTTTTTTAAAGTAAGCAGTTTTAATCAAGCTGGTCGAAAAACTAAATCACGTTTTTGTTATCAAAACTGAATAGTTAATTTGAGCACAAATCTTAGATTTGCCAGTATCCCTTTTAACTGCTTTCATTATTTGAAGTTTCAACAAGATTTTTTATCCTATCAATGTTATATTTTTTGACAGTATCGTTCACAAGGCAGTCTACATACTAGTAAAGAGCTACCTACTCTTTAGTTTGTTTATTTTAAAATTAATTTTAAATGCACACTTTCATTCT